CTGTATAAATCTTGATCACAAATGTGATCTGAATTAGTTACAGATGATTGTTGCTAATCATCCAAGTGAAATTTTATATTTCTCTTGGACATTTTTTTCTCTTTTGTTTTATGCTATACTTCATCGTGTACTTCAAATTGAATCACCCTAATTGATACCAAGTCATTATCGTATTAATTAATAATTTTTATTAAAATACTATAATTCTTCTCTCATAATAAGTAATTACTCTATCTTATATTATATATAGAAGAGAGAGAGATAGTATTTATGAAAATTATTAATAGAATATAACATTTGAGTAGTAAAATAATTTTAAAAGTCCGTGGTGAAAAGTGTCATTAGACCATTATTTGGGTGGAAAAAGTCGTTTACTCTTAAGTTTATTACTAATCAAAATCTGAATTGATGCCTCTACTTCTTATACATTAATCTCGTTCTTGTCCCTCTAATCGAAATATAATTTATTGTGCCATAAAATTTATTTTATTTGTTTCTGCAAAATGGGATTATTGATGAGTTAATTTTGGATATATTGTTTGGCATATTGACATTATGGTGGATGGTGGCTGTGATGGAATCAAAACTAAATGCAGAATTATGCTAGTAAAGAATTAACTGGTCAAATATCAAGTCAAAATTTACATAAACAAGCCTAAGCATTTATTTTCTAAAATGATAGAACAAAAGAGGGTGATGGAGAAGATTACTAAAAGGGACAAACATTACTTTCTAATTGGGTGAGGAGTTACGCCCAAAAACCAACAAGTGGTATTAGAGCCAACCCCATTTGGTTGAGTGATTGATTAGCGGTGGGCTGCAAACTCCCTCCATTCATAGGCAGGTGGACCATGTGGGCTTGACTATGAGGAGAGTTAGAGTCCCACATCGATCAGACCGTTCAAGCCTACTAGTTTATAAGAGGGAGTAATCCTCCTATTCAACCATGTTTTATTGGGTGAGAGTTAAGTCCACCTCAAATTCTATCATGATATCAGAGCTCAGATTCAGTTGAGTCGAGTACTTGACTAGCAGATGAGTGAAGAGTTAAAAACCAACTACCTCCAATAACAGGCATGACCCAACTATAATAACTTGACTGTAAGAAAGAGTGTTAGGGCTCACACCTAAATCTCTCTTTCTTCTTTGACTTGCCTTGCTACCTATCTTAAAGAAATAAAGAAGAAAAAAAAACTCTAGAAAATTACAATCTCGCCCCTTCCCCTCCCCCTCGCCCCCAACTAACGAACAACTATAATCTTTTCAATTTCACCCTCCATCAAATCAGATATATAAAATGAGATTTCACGTTGTTGTGTGCCAGATCTAAGCAAGTCTTGAAGAAGAAGAAGAAGAAGACTCTAGCCAGAGATCTCCATCTCTCTCTCTTCGCCTCTGTTGCTTCATCTCCAACCACTTGAGTCATGTCTCCGAGCAAGCTCGACTCCACCGTAGTCTCTGATTTCGCTGAATTTTGTTTAATTTTTTGTATTTTTCCATATTATTTGACTCTAATTGCCTCCATGTCTGTGAATTCCGCAGGCTTTTTTTTTTTTTTTTTGGATTCTTTTTTGTGCCCAATTTTGTTTTATTTTGGAGTAGTTTTTAATATATTGAGTAAGCTAATTTCAGTAATTTTGGTTTATTTATAAAATTACTGAAATTATTGAATTATACCTGGAATTGTTAAAATATCAGTATTTCTCATGTCAAAATTAAACAAAAAATTGTTTTTTTTTTTTTTTTTCCCCTTTTTGGAATGAAGTGTGTATTTAGTTTTAATTCTATTTTTGTAGTTTTAGTTTGCAGAATAAGCTAATTGTAGTAATGATTTGGTTAATTACTTGATTGAAGTGGAGGTCTGTTTTTAGCTTTATATGTGGATTTGTTAGAAGATCAGTGGTTCTTATGTGAATATATAAAAGAATGATGCATAGATGCTTGTTTTTGTGGTCAAGTATTTGTGTCTTGTCTGATAGGCTTCCTATGGAAATGGGATGCAAGTGTTTCGTGCTCACAGCCAGAGAATGGTTTTGTTGATTCACTTCCTCTCATTCAGTCAGAGAAGGCATGCGGAACTTCTTCAACAGACTCCTGTTCAGGGAACAGTGAACATCTTATAGAGTTTTCTGAGGCCTTGAGAAGTATTTCATTACTTATTCTGAATATATTTCTATCTTAATGGAGTATATGCCTTCCTGTAATCTCAATTTGAAATTTGATGCTTATTTCATTTTCAACACAATTTTAGCTGTTGCAAAGGCATTAAGACGAGTTGTTGAAGGAGAGGCTGCTGCTCAAGCTAAGGCTGCAGAATGGAAACGTAGATATGAACTGGAGAGGACACGAAATCTGCAAATGGAACGTAGAGGTTCTATTGATGGAATATGATAGATAAATTATGACGATCTATGACTTTGAACTTCTGTGAAAATTTTAAACTTTAGATAGCAAAGCTCATTTCAATTATATGAAGTTAGCTAGACCAATCTTCTTTTGCATTTGAATCTTATATTAGGTTTATTTTTTCAGTAAAACTGTAGTGCATTTCCCTTTACAGCTTCTTTCCAGTTTCTTTTCCACCTTTATTGTGGTCTTATAGTTATTAGAATGCTACTCTGTAGTACTGATACAATGGGTGTCTTTACTGAACTTGGCTGATCTCTTGTAGTAACTGATTTAGATCTTTATTTATTTGACCTTAGCATCTGATTCAGGCATTAATTAATAATTACTGTGTATCTTGATCTCTTCTATCTCATCACCCTTATTTTATGGAGAGTTCGTCTCTATTATATACCACCATGGTCTACAGCTATTTTATATAATATTAACTCTTAATTGGTGAAAGACTTAGTCCACTTCACACTAATTTTGGAATTTTGTTCTAACCTGATTAGACAGACCTATAGGGAAATCGTTGATATCTGCTTCTGTTGAGTTCCTTTCCCTGGCTATACCAGAAAGGAATAGAAATAAGCAAATAATATTTAATAATAAAAATAAGCAAAATTGTTCCTCTTCGTGAAGTTTAGAAAGAGTAAATTACTTGAAATCTACAATTTGATTTCTATGAATTGAGGAGTGGCAAGCATGATGTCCCTCCCTTGAAATTCTACAGTTTGATTTCTATGAATTGGAGAAGTGGCATGTAGATCAAGATGCAATGCCATGCTTGAGACTTGAAGATCCCATAGATCTCTTATAACTTAGACAAATACCCCCTATGTTACATTTGGCCACATTTAACTTAACATTATTCAACATTTATAAATGTTTACTAATTTTAAAACTGAATCCCATTGCATACAATCAAGATGACAGTAATTGATCAAAGTAATTTAATATTATACATTACTTTTTTTTTTTTTCCTTAATTTAATTTTGTAGCAGTAATATTGAAAAATGGTTGAAAACAACAGCGTGCGCACAAGAGAATCTATAATATACAATCAATACTTCTAAGTTAATGTATAGTATAGTTCAAATGGAAAAACCAACTAAGACAAAGCATCCAGTTACTAAATTTTTAATTAGAAACGAGTGCGTGCAGTCGAATATCTCCTGGTAGGGGCAGGGATTGATACAATCTTTCTGGAATTCTCACTCGGAGTTCTTTGGGTTATCTCCAGATTTTTAGCATAGGCATAGCTCCTTTCTCAACTTGCCATTCCTCCCACTCGTACAGGTCAAATTTCTAAACTTTCAAGCTGAGGAAAACCCTTTTCCCTGCATATCATTTTCTTTCCATGGTAAGAATGAAACCGCAATTCCAGACTTACTAGGTTCGTTAACTTCTCTAACTTTGGCATCGGATCACCTGAAGATTCGAATTACTTAACGATAGCATTCAGATTCGGCAACATTGTGTGCATGTCTGCTGGTAGTTCCCCTATCTTCCCACCCAATGTCAATCCTGGAGCGTGGACAGTAAAAGTGGTTGCAGTGAACTAAAAGAATGACACGCGGACAGTTCTACCGATAAAATTCTAATGTTTTTCAGCTTGGCAATAGAGTCGAATATGAATGGTTCTTGTCTTTGTTCTTGTGTGTGGAATGTGATATGCGCTCGCGAAGATTAACCAGCTTATCAGGATGAACTTTACTCCAACTTTCATAGCTAACGAACTTCAGAGTCTGAAGTTTTGTCAAATTGTCTATCGGCAAAGGCCCTTCAAGTTCCGATTAAATGCCTCAACTCCTCAATTTGCCAATTCCAATGGGAAGCTTGAGGAGCCATCTGCGAGAGTATAAGTCCGAGTTTGCAGTTTTCGTAAGTTGACTATCGATGGTGGAAGATTTCTGATGATGTAATCTTACCGTAAATACTTTAAGTGGACCAACTGCCCAATCTCTTTGGGTAACCTATGCAATTAATGAGCCTCCAAATTCTCGACATGAAGAACTCTAAGCAACCTGAGTCTTGTGAAATAGCGGTTGATGTTTGCCTGAAAGAGTCCTGTCTCGATCGTACAACAAGACGGAACGTGAGAGAGAATTACAATGTTGGAACGAGGAACTTGTTTCAGAATAAAAACTAGTCGGCGAGCTGATGATGTTGGAGTTGCAGAGCAAGTTGGATGGTGAATTCCGTCGTAAAGTGAAGAAATTCAGCTCTTTTGCCTTTTGAATTGCCAATCCCGCAAAGGATATGGATTCGGCATGTTTCAACCCTCCCCCGACATATGTTTTCAATTTGAATCAGCTTCTATTGATCAACTCATCGAGGTTGTTTTTTTGCCACCCTTCCATTACTCGATCATCATCTTCTCTTATGAAACCTTCTGCTACCAGTAATCGGATTGCTTTCTCTATAAGACACTCAAAATCAGGGAAATCCCAAGATAGAGAAAGCAGAGCTTCAATTGATAGGCAAATCATTGAAGCTTAAAGTTAATAAGGAAGGTATGTGGATTGAATCATTCCTTAATTGTCCAATGTGATCACGAACCGAGCGCCACTCTTGTGGTTTCTTTGTAGACACAGCCCGCCTAATACAATTATGCAAGTGGCAGACCGCCGCATTTTTCAACCATTTCTCTTCCCAGCTTTTCCAATTCTTCGTTTGCATTTGATTTTCGAAAAGATTTCTCACAGAATAAGTTCCAAGACTCATCAGGCCTAAGAAAACGAAGTTTTTGAACATGATTTCTCTCATCCGAACGCTCAGCTACTTCTTTGATGCGAGTAGTGATTATAACTCTGCTTCCATTGTTGCCATCCGGAAAGCGCTCTTTTCAAACTCTCCCATGCTTCTTTCTGCCATACATCATCGATCACCGCCAAATATGAGCGTCCTTGTAAAGATTTATACAATACCTCTCCAAATCCTCTCGCTCATCTTCTCTAACTCCACTCCGTTAATTTTGATCTCAAAGACTTTAATTCGTCGAGAAGATCTTGAGTTTGGAATCTTGAGAGACATACACCCAAGCTCGTAGTTTGAATTTATTCAAGACATCAATTTTGTGGTAAAGTTTTTTAGCCAGAGTGGTTTTGCCCAAACCTCCCATGCCAAAGATGGAAACCACAAAACGCCGTGGCTCCCCCTCAAGAAGTTTACCCAACAACATTTTAGCATCATCCTCAAAGCCAACATGTTCTCATCAACTACAAAGGAAGTGGCTCTTCTTAAATCTACTCACCCTCTCAAGATTATTGCTCTTTCCTTCCCTCCTATTACCAATATCCTCAAGGCGATACAATTCCCGTTTACGAGATAGATCGATGATCCTTTCTGAACTGATTCAATCTCCTTGCCTATGCCATACAGATCTTTCATCTTGCCTATATCAAATAGACATGAATACTTCCTGATCAAAGCAAAGAGGCCGGTCGATCTCGACTCGGAGTCTTTCCGTGATCGATTTTGAGCATGAAATTATCCAAGACATCCTCAGTATCATAAGCAATGTCTCTGATATCAGAAACCCACTTGCGAATCATAGCATCTTCAACTTGTTTTTCTTCGGCATCCTTGATGAAAACATTGCATCCATTCAAGCTCATTCTTTAGCAACTGCACTTCATCTCTCACATCTCGTAAAACACTGCTTCTTGGATGATATAATCTCCAAGCTTATGTACCCACTATGAACAACTGCATCAACCATGCTTCACAATTTTTTCTTTGAGTAGGAGTGGACTAAATTTTCAGCTATATTTTTTATATGAAATGAAAGTGCAAGGATTTCAAGATGGAGAATCCAAAATTGCTGCCAGTTTCGAGTGAAGTTGTAGTGAATTTTATCGAATTTCATCATCGACTTCTAAGGTCTATTTCTTTGATTGCCTACAAAAATAGACTTGACCCACAATATTCAAAGTTATATCGGTCGAGGAATGAAATTGCCTGGATTTTTCTTTAAATTCTAATTTTCTAAATATAAAAACAGCAAAAGCAATGTGCAATAATTGAATGAATTTAGGGCTGAAAAAAAAAAAAAAAAAAAAAAAAACCGAACCGAACCAACTAGAATAGTACCGAAATTGGTCCGAAAAATCAATTTTTCATAGTAATCAGTTCGGTTTTGGTTTTTTAAATTAGAAAACTGGAACCTATTTGGTTATTGATTCAAGTATAATACCGAACTAGTTTTCAAATCGGTTTTTCCATAAAATTAAAACTTGAAACCAATAAGTAAAGAGTGAGAGAGTTACAAATAAAATAAATAGGTAATTGACAAACACGACACTACTAGAGAAGTACTATGTTAAGCTGTGTTTGGTTGCCAACGACGTATGGCCATCCAGATCGAAGCCTTTGTCGGTTGATTACAATACTGGGAAACCACTTACGCCTTCATCGCCACAAGCTTCCCACCACCATCCGTACCAATGCAACTGCAAGCCTCTCTTCCACACAATCTCATCTCCCATTTTCTTTAATCACCGGATCTATAGTAAATGGGTTCTTATTTTTTGTAAGTTTTTTATTTTCTTTGGTTTTTCCTTAATGAATCTATGATTCTGTCTTGTAAATGCAATTGGAAGTTAAAATATTAAGAGACAGTGTTAAAAGATTAGGAAGAAAGTTGGATTATTTTGCAGTGTTAAATTTTGGTTAAATTTGTTGATTCTTGTTGTGAGGATATGTTTTAAAGTTGAAATAATCGAGGTAGTGAATGTTTTGTTGTAGAGTTAGTTCTTCGATTTAGATTTCGTATAAAACAGGTTAACTTTTTTCGAACTGAATTATCGGTTCGTTTAGAAACTGGTTCATACGATATTCTGGATCGATTTTAGTTCAAAATATTGTTTGAACTGAAAACCAGTTTGGTTCAAAAAACACCCATACAGTCTGGTTAATTGGATTTCCACACCCCAAATGAAATTACATATTATTGTATACTTTTGTTCTAATTTTCACCTAATGTTTTTGTTTCCCAATCAATAGAGAAAATATAATCAAAATGAGATTGCAGTTATAATCATAAAAGAAAGGAACCATTTAAATATCTAATTGTTAACGGTTATTTGCCGTTAACTTTAAACAAAATGACTAAATGACTTAAGTTCCCTTGCTTTTTTCTTTAGGTCAAGGAGGTTTGCTCCTTCCTTAAGTTCTTGGATTCAACCTTGAGGCCACCTACCACAATAACATTATAGTTTACCTGTCTTTTGGGCTTGTAGGGTACTAATAGACTCCGAGATTAGTTGAGATACATGCAAATTAGCTCGAACACTTTGGTTACCAAAAAAAATTAATTTAGTTCTTAAAGTATAAATTTAAAACGTTACAACTAAAAAAAAAAAAATAAGAAGAAGAAAGATAAAACCAACTTTTTGAGGGGGATCAAAAAAAAAAATTAAAAATTAAAAATTAAAAACTAAAAGAAAATAAAAAAATTAAGAAAAATAATATGGCTTTTCTTCCTTTATTTTTTTTTTTTAATTTTGATCATTTTTAATTTTGATTATTTAAAATTTAATTTAAAAACTTTTTTTTATTTTTTCTTATTTTTAGGTATTTAGTTTTATTATTTAATTTTATATTTTTATTATTTATTTTGTAGACAGAACAATTAAATTTGTTCAATTACATCTTTACCTTCATATAAAATTAAATTTAACTAATAACGTTTTATTGTCCATTAATTGATGTTTGTAACTTCTGTCCTCCCATATAAAGTTTAAAAAATTTATATCCTATTGATAACACACACACACACACACACACACACACACACATATATATATACTAATTAGAGTGATCTGATTGACCTTGGTGGAATCGAAACCGACGTGGGCCTGATTACAATACATCATGCTATGAATGTAGAAACAATAATGAAGAACACGAAAGACTTTCAAAGTGGTTTGGCAAGTTTGAACCTTGAGCTTATGTCCACTTTTTTTTATTTATTTATTTATTTACTTAGACAACTTACAAAAATCAATATACTGCCTAGAATAATTTGCCAACCCTTTTTCCATTGTTGGAAGGGGTTTACAGTTTTTTACAAAGGAAAAAAAAAATTAAAGGAATTACAATTAAGATTGAAATGCAACTCCGATATTCTCGTGATTGAACGCTAAGATCACGCCATTATTTATGTTGATTTGATCTCTTCCGAAATATCAAGGATTTGAGTTTATTTGTGATTTCCTTGAACAACTGTAAAGATTGGTTGCGACTAGCTATGTTGGGTCGAGCTATATCCCGACGAGCTTATGTTGGGTCAGACAAGTGTTGAGCCGAATTGATTCTATCGACTATAACCTCGTGAATTCTGACTTCTCTAAGCTTAATGAAAAATCACACACAACATCTACCTCCTATGTTTAGTGCTCGTTTCGAGCTTCGAAGACTAATTGCTCAATTTGATATTAAGTTCAAGCTTCACAATTGTATGTTAAATGTAGGCTTGGCTGAGCTTCATAAGTCGAACTTGATTCAGTTAACGTGAACACGACTTAGCCTTTTTTATACTACAACATTCACAAAAGACCGGGAATTTGAACCGAGGGCATGCGAGTAATTTCGACACACATGTCGCATTAATGCAGCTGACTTTTTCAGTTCCTTTTTGTCTCCCATGGGCGACTACAGTTGTCCATGGCATAGTCGATGCACGTGCGACAACAGTTATGATTGCAGAAGTCTAATAGTTGATCGCCCTTTTGTCAATGATGACACATGGTTGTGTCGGACAATCAGGATTGCTCGACGAATGGAGGGCTGAGATTTTTTTAATCAATGGTTACGGTCGAATCCCACATGACTTTCTTTTCTATGAGCTTTGTTCCATTATCATTTTGTGGGGTATCATTTATAGCTTGAAAATTATCGATGAAAAAAAAAAAACAAAACTAGAAGCATCAATGAAAAAGATGGGTTTATATATATATATTATTTATTACATTCATGCCCCTTTCATAATAGTTAGTTGAAATAGAGTTGTTGAGTAACCCATTTGACACAAAAGATTAATAATATTAACTTTTTTTTGTTTAAATTGATCTCTTATGTGATACATGAATCTGATTTTTAAGTTATAATAAATTCAAAGAGAGATTGGATCATAAATCCAATTTTTAAGGTCTAATAGTTCCGCCGTGAGACCAACTTGAGATTGCAATTAGAATGATTGGTTGATTGACTTTATACTAATTCCCGATCAGTGCTCGGGTAAATGCCTTTGGACATGAGCTGCTTTCATTGAGATTTGAACCCTTGACATTACATGTCGCCCACTAAGAATTCAGTTACCAGTTGGACCACAACTCGTGGTGTAACCTGAAAGCTTAAGCGATAAGACTAATATTTTTTTTTTTTTAATGATTAGAGTATTTGAGTCAGTTTAGGCGTACCTCAACTAATCTTCAAGAGTCATTGAACACTTTACAAGTCTAATGTTCTAAAATAAACCACAAATATGATAGATGATCTCAAGGTAGTTAGCAAATTGACTCCAACATTTAAATCTATCAAACCTCTCACTTTTATGGATTTAATGAGAGATGAACTCCTAAATCCATTTTTTAAAGTCTATCGGATCCGGCATGAGTTTGACTCAAGATTGGGATATTGGTGCTTGATGGAGTGAGTTGATAAATCGAGAAATGAGTTATCCGTGGTGATTGATTTGTGAATAATAATAAGAGACATGTGAGGACACAATATGAATGTTCAAGTAATTGCTAAAAGATTTTAATTATTATTTCTGTAATTAAATGTTTTTTATAAAATATTCCCATGCGTATTGCAATTTAATAAAATACATATATATTTTTCCTTTTTCTTTTATTTATTAAGAAACAACTCAATATCATCCTTAGACTAACAAAAAAAAAAGTATATATTTTGGGATATAAAATTGATTGCTTCAATTTGTAGAATGTCCTGCTTCACCCTATTAATTATTTATTATATAATGATATAAGGAGAAGCATATTCTAATATCAATTAAGGGTCATTTGGATCAGAAGTAAACAAGATAACAGGAGTAATCTTCGTTTATTTTTCAAGATTCTTGTATTTGGTTTACAAGTAATAAAATATTATGGGAATCTTTTATTGCAAATAGTGTTTACTGTTGGTAATGTGGGGGATAATCTTATTACTTTGCCAGGGGCGCTATTAAAACATTACCGGGGTAATATGATTTTTCTACCCATTTTGCCCTTAATTAAAAACCATTTTGGATACAATTGCTCTCAAATGCCTACCAAATAACAATTACCCAGCCCCCTTACATTTGAGAAATTAGCTAAAACACCCAGCTACTAAAAAGTTTAAAAGTTAACAAAATACCCCCAACCACCCAAGACCACCACTGGCTGTGACTCACCACCGACGTCAATCGCCATAATGGTGCACGACCACCCTCAAATGGCATAACCAAAGATCTAGCCTTTTCACGACCAGATTTGTGGCCATTTCACAACCACATCTTTGGCTATGAAATGGCTATAGACTTGGTCGTTTTCCAGCCATGGATTCATTTCGGCCCTGCCAACGCACGACCAGTCATATACAGTCAATCGTGCGCCATTCTGTTGATTGC